TGGAGGGTCTCGGCGGTCATCTGCGTGGCGTTTGGGGCGGCCCGCGCCGTCGTCCCAATCCCGGTTCATGACCGGCGGGGGGGGAGGGAAGGGCGCAAGGGGGCTGGGGGCGCCGGCGAGCAAAGAGCAACGAGGGGCGGCGGGGGCGCGTCGGGGAGAGATACACGAGTCACGGGATTGGGGACGGGTTGACGGGGAAACCCTAGCGGGGGCCAAATGGAACGTTGGACCGGGCCCAAGCCCACCGAGGGGCGCGGCCCAGCAGCCGCGGGAGGCGCAACCGGTCCAGGGGCCGGCCCACCAAGCGGTCAGAAGCCCGCACCCCACTGTGCGGCCCAGCGGCCGAGGAACTCGGGATGGGCCCTAAGGCGAGGCCCACGGGACAGCCCGAGACCAACGCGGTCCAGTACGACAACCCCGGGGCGACCAGGCGAGGGGCAAGGGTTTCCCCGAGCGCCGTCGTGGTGGCCGCCGACGAGGCAGGACGGAGGCAGCGAGGCCAGGCCGGAGCGCGCCGGGTTCCAGGAGGCGAATGGACGGAGGAGCCGAACGCGGAGATGAAGGGTCGGAAAGGTGAGCGCCTGACGAGCACCGACGAGAGCGCCGACGAGATTGCCAGTGCCGGGACGGCCGGGGCCAAGGAGGACGAGGCCGGGGCAGCGGTTCTCCAGGAGGAACTTGTAGGGCCGCGGTCGGCGGGCCAGCCACGCCCCACCCGCCGGCACGGCGCCCCCGGCGACGGGACCCCGATCCCAAGGAGGCACCTTGCCCAGCCACCGCCTGAGCAGAGCTCGAAGGCCGGTGCCGTCGTCGGGCGGACCCACGGGCGGCCGAACTCCCACCCCTGAAAGTAAGGCCACCGGCGGAGTCAAGCCGAGGCACCCGGGCAGGAGCCTTGGGGGGGGAGGGGGCGCGGTCGCGGCACACAACGGGGCGCCCCGCGGCGAGGTCGTCGGCCTCAGCGAGGTCTGCCCAGACCACCCGAGACGGCGCGGCGTGGGGAGTCGACGGCGGGGCAGGCGAGGGGGTCCCCGGCGGGCGGGAAGCGCGTGAGGAAGGGACGAGGGCGTTGGCGGCGGCGGAGCCGCCGGCGCGCTAGGGGCGTCGCCAGAGCCAACGGTCACAGGAGCCATCCCACCTTTTGTTCTCCCCTCTTGGTCCTTACTCTGTATTACAACAGCAAGAGCCATTTTAGATACAACAAATACCATTTTAGATTTCGAATCAGAGGACCCTAAAGCTACAAAGTTAGAACGTAATTTTACACTGCATGGAAAAACATGGTGATTTTTTCCCTCAACCAATAACTAGACAAAGATAGTTAGTGTGCATTGCCAAAATACGATTCACATTGTACTGGACTGGAATATACGTTCAAATTTATATGCCTAAAAAGACTGTACTGGACTGGAATAACTAAACAAATATATATGCCTAAAAAGAATGTTATGGACTGGAATATACGTTCAGATTTTAATTGGTTCAGATTGTAACAATTTCAATCCATCACAACACTAGATTATTCTACTAATGAGGTTGGAGAGAAGTATATTCTGTTCTAGGAGAAAAGAGCAATTGTCATAAGTAGAATATAAATTATAGTTGCTATGCCATAGATATCAATTCCACAAGTTCATGGTAAAAGCATAATTAACGATAAACTTTCTTCGTCCATCTGGTTTATGTGTCACCCTCAAATTTTCAGAATAACTTTGTCCTAAATTTTGATTAACAAATTATGTGTTATATGTCGCACAAAGTATACATATCATTGGAAACTTCTTTTGAATTCGAATCCACTGACATACATTTTGCAACATATAACTCGGTTGTATTTTGATATAGTTAAATTTCCTGTCAAATTTGGACTAAAAATTTCCAAACGGAGGAAGTAACCATCTCTTCATCATCCTTATCGTCCCCTGCAAAAAAAAAAATCATTGTCGTCAACCTTCTCACCATAGTCCTTCTGTTCGGCGCCGTCCTCCTCCTCCCCCCTACCAAAAACCACATGGCTCGCCTCGGTGTGGCAGCCCCTGAGACGCGGCCTTCCACCATCTCCACTCTAGGGGCACCCTCAGCCTCTTCCATTGCTGGCGCAGATAACCGTGATGCCGAGTATGACATTGAGCAGAATGGATGGAGAATTGGGTTCAGAGGGAAGAATGTGAATGTGAAGACGTGAGGCGGCAGACGAATTATATTGACCGGTAGAGTTTATATAGTATGTCGAGGAGAGAGAGCACAGCTGAGAAGGTTGAGATATGCCAGGATTACATTTTTAATAAGCTAGGGAAATAATTCTCCATGATTGTGATTATCCTTGGCTCGTGATCTTCATGATCGGTGATGGGTGCCATAGACGGACTCCATGCATGGCAGTAATCCTACGTGTATGGCTAGATGTATTCGCCCAACAGGATGGAAGGGAAACGTAGAGCATAACGGGAATGAATGATTTTTTATTTGAGCGCGGGGCTATTTCATTCAATTCTGGCTCTTTTAGGGGAATTCTGGCTTCTTTTTCTAGGGGAATTTCATTCCAGGCTACTAGAGGATCTAAAATGTTCCAGGTAGAATTTTTTTATTTTGAGCCTATTCTTGAAATGCCGTGGAGTGTTTCAAGAATAGTCCAAGAACCGAGTTCCAGGTAGCTAGAATCAAAAGGGTTACCCATCTCTCAAATCAAACCCCCCAATATTCCAGTATCAACCATAAGTTTCGAAGAAACATTGGATTTGAAAATCACATGAAACAGTCAATATGTACTCCAAAAGGATCGACATCTTCATTTGTTTGAACTTTGTCAGATGTTGAATTTGCGCATTGGATGATAACAGAGGCTGAAATTAGCAAGTATTGGCTCGGTTTGGATTACAATGTAAATACAAGCCAAGTTTGCAGAATAGTCCATTATATTTTACAAATGTATGGACTAAAGTGAACCCACGGCCAAGAGGAAATCAATCCAACGGCACGGTGACAATCCCCAAGTACAAGGGCGGCATGAGCTTCCGTGACATAAGAATTTTTAACTAGGCACACCTTGTGTGCCAGCCGTGGCATATCCTTGGTAGGGTGGCCATTGCTTTCGACTTTGCCATGAAGTCATTATCAGTAAGAATAAAGACCGAACATGCTGTTCATATCACAATTATGGTGAAGGAGATCGCTCAATGGCACAATTTTACTTCGGTAATATTTCCCGAGTTGAAAGAATGCAATTTTGAGGTGCATAAACTAATTAAGGGGATAGTCACATATGTGGCATGTTGATCTTCCAAGATTGCATGTATCCTATATTTTGTACCAGTAAAGCCCCCCTGTTCCCTAAAAAAAGCAGAGAGGAAGGGGTGCAGGGGCAAGAGACGGCACTAAATCGGCACAGTTTATGGGAGGTAGTATATATAGGTCTCACAGAAAAAATCTGTACAAGGTAGTGTGTGTTTTGAAAAGGAAGAGTTCAGATCCCACTTTCTTTTAACCATTGCAGTAAAGGGCATCAAGTGCCATGTGAATGGTTTTTACCCCAAGTCAGGGCTCAAGAGGACATGTCACCCTCACAGCTTCCTGCAACAACTTGATAATCTGACTCTCGTAATGATAACCGCTCTACTCTCTCGGGACCTAAGATCTGAACTATTTATAAAATTGTATGTGAAAGCTGGAAAATAAAACAGGTATACCATGTCAACACTTTGAGTTCCATCACCAGATTACCACCATCCTCATATAAGAAGCACTTAATTAGATCCTCAAAAGGATAAAATACAGAGTTTGAACCACCATTTTTCACATGCTGCACTCAAGGTGCCAACAAACTTGCAAATGTGGTAACCACGAGCACGAAGTTAAAGAGAAAGGACGGTGCAAGTGCAAACCAGCTGATGAAAGCCATTGCAATAGCAGTCATAAACCTTGCACAAAGATTGCCCGCACATATCTTCTTATCATTATCAATAACAATGGTGACGCCCATCGATGCACATGCTGCACTCAAGGTTAGCGTCCCTGTGATCTACAAAAAACATTAAGGTGAAAAATGAATGAGTTCGGCAGACAGAAATATGTGCATCTTGTTATGAAAATTATTTTCTATTCATGAAATTAAAACATATTAACCTACAAGTCTAAAATGAATGACAGGCGTGGTTGATTTATTAGGTGCCTGTGAAAATATGACTCACCCAGTCTCCAACGGAAAATATGAACATAGCTCGGAGATTTAGCAACGAACGTTTGACGAGAAGTGCATAGATATACACAAAGGCTAGGGTGAGGCTCCACAAACATTGCAGACTGGCAGCTGCTACGAGGTAGCTGTTCAGAACAACAACAATAAGTTAAGCTCATCATCTATAGAAGAAAAAACAAGATCCTGTATTCTGAGTTCTAATATCAACACCCTAGGAGAAAAAAACTGTGATTGTTATGCTATAATTGCATCACAGAAATCAGATGAGCCAAAATAGTACTTTTCATGTAGTTAAATATTATCTCCAAATAGATCTTGAATTTGTTCCCTCAACGACATGCATTTCATATGATTTGTCTATCACAATCACAATATTCTGAATTCCAGTAACCAAAAAATGTTAACCTAACCTACTTACCAACAGAGAAGTTTTTTTTTTGGAACTATGCATGCAGACTACTACAAAAAAGAACAACCCGCTAGAAAATCTTGCAAACAAGCAAAACTTCAGACTGTTAGTTTTACACATCTGTAAAATCACAAAAAATCTCTTTTTATTCTAAAACGAACTCTTAGTGCAACATTCATGTTAAGCCACATCACCCCAAAAAGAATAGTCGTCGGATTATGTTGAGGACCAATCAAATTCGTTAGATCTAGCCAGTTGCGGCCTACAAACAGCCATGTCCTTTGGTTAAAAAGACATGTAACTTGGTGAAAAGATGTCCTTTGGCTAAAAGACGCATCCCTTGGTGAAAGAATGTCTCTCTGTGGAAAGACACACCACTCGGTGAAGATGTCTCTTCACGGAAGACATGTCACTTGGTGAAAAGATGTCTCTTCGTGAAAAGACACTCCCTTGTTAAAAAAAATGTTTCTTCGTGAAAATGCATATTAGAAAATAATGGAAATAAGGATAATAATTCTAAAATTAATAGGTTACAAAAATCTGTTTTTTACTTCCCAAAAATGCCAAAATTGCCTTAACAGTGCCAAAAAAATAATGTACCAAAATTTAACAGTTCAATTTATTTATGTATTTCAACACCATTTCAAACTTGCACCTCTATGCTGAAAAATCCAATTTCATATATAAAATTTGAAATATACTAATTAAAAATATTTAATCATACCCGCAACAAAGCGTGGGCTATACACTAGTGAACCTCTATAATATAATCCTTGTCTCCTCCCTAAATAATAAAATGTTGATTCATGGGCTTATGTTAGTTGCTTCAGCTTTGAGATATAATACAACCCTGTTAGTTGTATACATATCTCTCATCCATTCCATATTTTCCCCTTTCAACTCTAGAAATCAAAGCACCATCAAAATGCACGTGCACATTGTCATCTTCCATGCATCACTGGGCTTACTTGAGCACCGCGCATACGAAACCACATTATGCCATCCTGGCTACTTGTGATGCAATTGTGACTTGAGAGTTGTATGGCAGGCAATGAGTAGGTCCACCCATTAAACTCTACAAGCATGGAGTGATGGGGGTCCAAGTTTCCCAACACAGATACATGATCAGCACCATTTACTATTAATGCAAGGTTATTTATTGCCAAGGTTTTCGTGCTTGTGAAGGCATGGAAATATGTCAAAGAAAGGTAAAGTCACACATACTTTTTAGCTGATACTTTATAATAAAAAGCATGGCTAGAACTTAGCTAGTGAAGTGATTGCACTGGTCAAATGTATTCGGAAATTTGGAGTTCAGCTACGCAACGAATGAACTAGTGATCCATAGTCGTATAAATCAATTGGTTGTTATAATAAATAGAGATATTTTCTTGGCACCCTATAAACGATTAGGTGGCAGATGTAAAACTACATCAAACAAAAAACAGCTACATGTTTAGGAGTGAATATTTTGAGGTGTTAGTTGTGAATGAATAAACCATTATTGTCTCTTTAAGTTGTCATCGACATAAGCATGATATTAAATATTCATGAGCACATAACTCAAATTCAAAAAAAAAAAGAATATAGCAAACAAAGACGTTGCTTGGGGAAATCACTGCCACTAGCTAACTTGGTGGATGGCAGCCGATTAATTATTACTAAGATCACAACTGTTAAATCATCATCATTAACCTATATAAATCATAGATGTCAATCTTCATCACTGGATCTATAAAAATTCACAATCAACAGGTTATATCATAATTGTATATCTAGACAGAACTTCATAATTAATTATACCTAATGAACACATTTATTTCTTCATAATTGTTCATATAGCTAGATCTAAGACATGTTAATTAGATCATCATACCTATATCTAGACAGGTCTTCATAGTTGTACCTAAACACAGATAGATCATCATAGTTCTATCTAGAAAGATTAAATCAGATCACAGTACATAGATGTCCCTTTATTAAATCAGATCACGTTACATAGATGTCCCTTAACTTGATCTGACAACTTATATGGTGGACATTTATATGGGATACAACCGTTAGACCGTGATAACTAAATGTACATATTAATCAATGTGAATCTGGTGTATCTTAATGATATTGGAAGACAATTGGCATAAGGTAATAATTTTATGTTTCATAGAACATGTACCTAGCTAGGCTTATATACATACGTTAACCCAAATGACATACCATAACTATGCATACTGATCTAATATCACACACAAATAAAACAATCAGAAAATCATGATCCGAACATCAACTAAGATCATGTAGAAAATATCACGTACAAACGAGTGAGTGGCTGGCCTGATATTCTTTTGAACTCCGATAATATAAAAACACTGGCCAAGCTTTACTTTCACACATACTGATAATATGTAGAAACAACATGGCAACTCACACCCAGTCATAAAAATAACATACTAACTCAGGTGCAAACCTACCGACTAGGTGGCTTGCTATCTGAATTTTAGTTTTGCGTGTTGAATTAAGTTCGCATACAATTGATACATGTAGTATCTTTCCAAATAAAATAATAACACATTACCTCTGAAGTTCAAAAGTAATACTAGTTTATTTAAGTCATTCCCGCGCGATTGCGGAGGACCCCAATCTAGTTTCGAATACATTTATGATCAGCAAACAAGACTCAAAGCATTTCTTGAGATTATATTTATGCTGCATCCAAGAAGACAACTGAGATAATACCACAACAAACAATTGCATTTTCAAAAACAAGGCATGCACCATCTTCTACTAAAAATATCCAATGAGTTCAGTTCGTTTAGCTGGCCTTGCAAGGGCGTTGTGGATGCCACCAGACTAGAAATTAGGCCTTAGACTTTCTTTCCCTTTTCTTTTTCTAGTTTACTCACACTTGTAATTGTTACAGCTATCTTTGGCGCCCCCTCTTAATGAACGAAATCAGCACTGGCTGCTTTTCGTCTAAAAATAACAATATACCACAACGAGCATGGCCATGTTTTCTTTTAATCGTGCTGCCTCTTTCAGGATGCCAAATCAATTTTAAAAAGCATAAAATACTGAAATGCACGAATAGACATAAACATTTCTCTTTGTGGAATTAATTAAGGAACCCTAATAACCTTTCCCCATCAGAAACTTGTTCATTATCTCTCATAAAGATCTCTGCAAAATCGGGTAATTAAGAGATCTCAACTGAAAACCAACACAGGCGCGTATAATTCTAGTATAGACAAGCCGGGTATGGTGGTGCACCTGAAGGCGGAGAAGGAGGGGAAGACCCCGGTGGACGCCATGACGGCGATCGAGGCGGCCGCGGACAAGGCCTGCAGGAGGCGGAGGCCGACCCCGCCAAGCGTCCCCGCCGACCCCTGCGGGCTATTCATCCACAGTCCGGGCGGGGGAGCGTCCGCTAGCTCTACCTGCAGCGGCGGCGCCGCCACGGGGTGCACCGTCGTCTGCCGGCTAACCAGCATCTCCACCCAAGGGTTTGGGAGATTTTAGAAGCCGGGGGGTGGAGAGGAAGGGGAGAGGCGGCTGGGTCGAGAAAGGCAGCGTTAGGTTCAGTTTCGTTTGGTCTCTGAATGTCAGCGTGCCCACGTGAGCCTTTGGGTATTTTTATATAGGGATGGCGTCTTTCGTGTGTTCAGCCTCGTATGTGCACGTTGGGCATATGACTCGCGGAGCCCCACACTGTGCACCTCTTTCCGAGAAACTTCCTTTGTTCTTGAAAAAATAAAATAAAATACAGTATGATATATCAAGAGGCTTGAATAAACAAGTTTTTATATTACTAAAAAAACATAGTGCGAAGTAATAGGAAAAACTCCCGTAGGATTCATCAATTCTTAAAATCAAACAATATATGCATAAAAAATTCTAAGGATTATGTTCTGTTCCTCCAAATTTCTGTGAAAATACTTTGAATCAAAGAGGCTCATACTTTCACAAGGGTTGCACAATAAAAGAGTTACTCCCTAAGAGCGTTTACATAACTCTTTAGTTAACTAAACGCTCTTATATTTCTTTACAGAGGGAGTACCTGGACTTAGGGTTGTGGATGTGACCGACGAAGAGGTGGAGGAAGCTCATGGTGAGGTGGAGTAGGTCAAGGTGAGGTTAGCGAGAGGAGGTGGCGAGATGGCAACATCAGCGAAGGGTGTCGCGAACAGGGATAATGGGTCAGGTGGGTCAGCAGAGCAGTGACGGGGGTGATCGACAGAGAGCGGAGACGGCGAGGGATGCATGGTGTCGGCTTCCAGGTTAAAAAAGATGGTGTTGAAACAAGAACTTAGAGCTCAAGGAGGTATTTAGGAGAGAGATAGAGAGAGGGCGCTCGAGATATTGAGGGTGGGTTTGGCTAAAATTTTGTGTAATTCCGACGAAATCCTAGGGGGCAATGTGAC